GCCGGTCCCCCAGCGGTGCAGCGCGCAGGTGTGCACGTGCGTGCGCGGAGGGGCCCGGCAGGCCATGGCGGCTGCGCGGGTGCTGCGCGGGTGCTGCGCGGGGCCTCGTCTCCTTCGCGCTGCGTCCCGCGAGGGGAACGAGGGAAGTGACCCGCACTAACTCTCCCTAATCCTGTTTTTCCTCTCTGCTCCCCAGCCTCAGGTGGTCGGGATTTTTTTCAGGACTTAGTTTTGCCTGAGTGCTAACTCGGCAGTAATTGGACTAATGAGATCGGCACTACGGAAATGACTAAATCTGCTGGCCCACCTGGCTAACGGTCCCAAACACGCACTGGTGTGCCCAGCACCACCGCACGCTCCTGCACTTAGCCTGACAGACGCACTGCTTCATCCCTGCTCACACGCAGCATTCCCGGGTTTCCTGAGCCTTTTAAGGCCAGTTGGGCTGAAGCAGCGTCGGGAGGAAAGAGGGCAACACACAGCAAAGCCCTGAATGCCTATTCCTTTCTTTGCTCTTCCTTCGGCTCACTGAAAAGCGAGTCCAACCAGAACAGCAAGTGCAAGTTTGGGACTCAGAGCAAAACTTCAGCTTTTGAAGACAAAACGGCCCAGCAGGAAAAAAAAAACAAATCTAAAATACAGTGCATGTTCTAACACCAAGTAACACCCCTCTATTTATGCTCTGCACACTTTTAGAGTGTTTGGAGTTACTGCAGTCTGTTGAGATGCGTTAAGATTCTCAGCAACCACTGCCTCTGTGTGCCCCTCTCTGCAGCAGCCGCTTGGTCCGTCTGGTTTCATTCCTCCCACAACCCGGCCCTGCTTCAGCCTCCTGCTCCGGGTACGGTGCCCGCCTGGCACCGAGTGGGAAGCCCCGAGGAGACGGGCGGGAATGACCACAGCTGCAGCTGCGTTAATCCCGATGGCATCAACAACACAGAGGGCTTCGGAACGGGATGTCGCGAAGGCAGCAGCTCCGCTGGGAACAGGAGGCACTGGGGAATTTCCACAGCGCAGGCTCCGCGTCCGCAGATCCCTCAGGAACAGCGAGCTGGAGCCAACAGGCTGAGCAGATCAGGGCAGGGAGAGGCCGGGGGGTAACGAAGCCGAAACCCTGCCCGCCCCCGAGCGCTCGGCGGCAGCCCGGCCTCCTCCCGCTCCCCCCGCGGCGCCGCCCC